GATATATAAAGAACTCAAAAGAGTCCCCCAAATATAAAGACCTGATTCAAAAATGGGCATCCGAAATGAACAGACATTTCTCAAAGAAGTCAAAGCAGCAAGAAAATATTTGAAAAAATGTTCCACATCATTGGTCATTCGAGAGATGCAGATGAAAACAACACTGAGATTCCACCTCACCCCACAAAGAATGGCCGCTATCAAGAAATCACACAATAACAAATGTTGGCGGGGTTGTGGGGAGAAAGGAACCCTTCTCCATTGTTGGTGGGAGTGCAGACTGGTGCAACCACTATGGAAATCAATATGGAGATACCTCAGAGAGCTTGGACTGGAGGTTCCATTTGACCCAGCCATCCCTCTGCTGGGTATCTTTCCAAGAGAACTAAAAGAATCATATCACAGAGAAGTATGTGCACCCATGTTTATAGCGGCACAGTTTGTAATAGCTAAATCTGGGAAACAGCCCATTTGCCCATCCATTGGAAACTGGATAAAGAAGATGTGGTTTTTGTATAAAATGGAATATTACTCAGCCATAAAGAACGAGAAAATAGATCCATTCATAGGAAAATGGATACATATTGAAGATATACTCCTAATTGAAAAAAATAAGGCACACATGTGTAAATACCGAATAGTTTCCCTTGTGTGAATAATCTGCAACAATACATAAGATTCTAATAAGCTTACTGACATTTAGAAATGGGAAGAAAGGAGCTAAAGGTGTAGGGAAAGTGGGATGGGTAGGGGAAGAGTAAAAAAGGAAAATAAAAAAATGTGAGATAATGAAAAGATGAAAATAAAGTTTGTAGATGGGGAGGGGAGGAGGGAGTGAAGGGGGGGCAGAGGTAAGGGGAAAATATGAGAATCAAGACGTTATGTGGAGGTACAAGATCCCAACAATGAATGTAACTGTAGTGTATCCCTAAAATGTACCAATAAACTCAATTAAAGCTGAAAAACAAAAGGAAAAAAAAAAAGCACAAAGTCCGAGTTCAATCCCTGGAAACAAAAAACAAAAACCCTACAGAATGATGTAGATGGTCTTTATCTCAGTACTATAAGAGCCACCTATAACAAACCAATAGCCAACATTGTATTAAATGGACAGAAACTGAAAGCTTTCACTCTAAAATCAGGAACAAGACAAGAATGTCCATGTCACCACTCCTGTTCAATATAGTTCTGGAAACATTAGCCAGAACAATTAGACAAGAGAAAGAAATAAAAGGAACAAGGATAGGAAATGAAGAAATGAAATTATCATTATTTGTGGATGACATGATACAAAGAAGACCCCAAAAATGCCACCAAAAGACTTTTAGATTGGATAATAAAATTCAGTGGCATAGCTGGATAGAAAGTCAACACTCAAAAGTGAATAGCCTTCCTGTACACAAATAATAGACTCATGGAAAGAAAAATTAGAGAAACAATCCCTTTCCTAGGAGCATCCAAAAAAATGAAATGCATAAGAATCAAACTAACAAAGGAAGTAAATGACCTCTACGTTGAAAATTACAATACTCTGAAAAAGGAGATTGAAGAGGATATAAGAAAATGGAAAGGTATCACTTATTCTTGGATAGGAAGAACCAATATAATGAAAATGGCCATACTTCCAAAATTGTTATACAGTTTCAATGCAATCTCAAGCAAAATCCCAACAGAATATCTCACAGAATCAGGAAAAAAAAAAATCCTAAAATTCATTTGGAAACAGAAGAGACCTATAATAAAAAAGGCAATTCTGGGGGACAAAGGCAAAGTAGGGGCTATCACAATCCCTAACTTTAAATTAACACTACTTAGCTACAGTGATTAAAAAATCCAGCATGGTACTGGCAAAAGAACAGACCTGAGAATCAATGGAGCAGACTAGAGGATGCAGAAACAACTCCAGACATAGTCAACAGCCTTATCTTCGACAAAGCAGCCAAACACCTTCACTGGAACAAAGATAGCCTCTTTAATAAATGCTGCTGGAAAAACTGGCTTTCCACATGCTGAAGATTGGAATTAGACCCATATCAGACCCCCCAAATTTAAAGACCCAATGAAAAAATGGGCATCTGAAATTAAAAAAAACTTCTCAGATAAATAATTAGAAATGGAAAATAAATAAATGAAAAAAATGTTCAATATCACTGGTCATTCAAGAGATACAAATGAAAACAACAATGAAATTCCACCTCACTCCAGAAAGAATGGCTGCTATCAAGAAATTAACCAATAACAAATGCTGGTAGGGCTGCAGGGAAAAAGGAACCCTTCACTGCTGGTGGAAGTGTAGACTGGTGCAACCACTGTGGAACTCAGCGTGGAGATTTCGCAAAAAAAAAACTAAAACTAGAGGTTCCATTTGATCCACCTATAGCGCTTCTTGGTATCTTCCTGAAAGAATTAAAAGCATCATACTACAGCAATATATATGTTTACAGCAGCACAGTTTGTAATAGCTTAATCTTGGAAATAGCTCAAATGCCCATCAACTGATGAGTGGATACACAAGATGTGGTTTTTATACATAATGGAGTACGACTCTGCCATGAAGAAGGATGAGCTCGAGACATTGACTTATAGCTAAATGATGGACCTTGATTTAGTGTAATAAATCAGACACATGTGTTTACATACTGCATCTCTGTGTGAGAAACCGAATGTGGAAATAAGAATTGAGATGCATAATGGATGTTGGGAAATGGAAGGAGTTCACATGGAAGGGGTACAAGGGAGGAGAGAGTGTGAACAGAAGGAAGGGACAAGAAAAAAGTGAAAACAGAAGGAAAAAATGGAAACAAAACGTTTACACATAGGGAGGGGAGGGGCCTTGAGGTGAGGGAGTGGGGTGAAATTAAATTAAAAACAGTGTGATGAAGTGAGAAAAACATTAACAAATTTGTTGTTACAGATTTTTCTGAAGTCCACCATAAGGTAACCAGTGACAACCAACTCTACATGGCAACCAGGAGCTGTAGACCTCTGACTTGGTAAGGTGTCTGGAGAGTCCATTAAAATTCTATTTCAAAAGTTCTCCAAGAGACTTCAGGGTTTTGGGTAGCACAGTGACAGACTATAAATAGGAAGCTGGTAAACTCTATGAAGTATGTCTTTCAAGATTAATTTATGTGCCTTGAATGTTCAATCTTATAGTACTTTTTAATTCAGTTTCAGAATTATGTGTATACATGGTACCATATGTCACATATAATCTATGCTCAGTAATAGAAAATAAGAGCTAATAGATGCATCAGAGTCCTACTTATATGTGATTATCCAAAAGAGTCATCTGTTTCAGGGCATCATTCTGTTTTCATTAATGGTATTAAAGCTATTCATATTCATGAGAATTTCACCAGTCAGATTAACACTACTATTCTTAAGTTTCAAAACAGAACGTAGGGCCAGGGATTTAGCTCATTGGTCCCACAGCCTGCCTTGCATGCAAGAGGTGCTTAGTTTGATCTCCGGTACCAAAAAATCATATATAAATATAT